CCTCCTGATGGCACCTGGTATTTTTGGCCACTGTGTGACAGAGTGTTGGACTGGATGGACCATTGGCCTGATCCAACATTGGCTTCTCTTGTGTTCTTATATGGAGCAGAGGTCCATCAGTGGCTATTAGCCACAAGGTATAGATAGGAACTCTCGGTCTGGGGCAAGGGATGCTCTGTATTCTTGGTGCTTGGGAGGGGGGGCAACAGTGGGAGGGCTTCTAGTGTCCTGGCCCCACTGGTGGACTTCCTGATGGCCCCTGGTATTTTTGGCCACTGTGTGACACAGAGTGTTGGACTGGATGGGCCATTGGCCTGATCCAACACGGCCTTCTATGATGTTCTTATAGGATTTCTCGGTCTGGGGCAAGGGATGCTCTGTATTCTTGGTGCTTGGGAGGGGGGGCAACAGTGGGAGGGCTTCTAGTGTCCTGGCCCCACTGCTGGACCTCCTGATGGCCCCTGGTGTTTCTGGCCACTGTGTGACACAGAGTGTCGGACTGGACTGGGCCGTTGGCCTGACCCAACATGGGCTTCTATGATGTTCTTAGGCTCTAACCAATTTTGTGTTTGGCTCCACCTCCTGCCGCAGCCGTTTCCTAGCTGCGCCTGTCCCCTTGTGTCCGAATTCCAAAGGCGCCCACAGCCTCAAGAAGGTTGGGGAACCCTGACCCACCTGAACTGGCTTTCATCGCTTAGGCAACGTCTCATTTGAACCACCTCTCCCCAAAGGACGCTCCTCACCTCCACCCCGTTTATTTTCTGCAGGTTGAAATGGCTCAGCCGGAAGAGGACGTAGTACTTCCACAAGGTGAAGCTGACCACTCGGTTTCCCTGGGCGTCGACGGTCAGCTGCTCCAGGCGGCGGAACTGCGCTAAAGCGTTGAACTGCTGCAGCGTGACGAGGTTCGTGTCCTTGAACTTCAAGTGCTGCAGAAGAGACAGAGACAGCTTCAAGAGGGGGCTGGAGGAACACGTGGAGCAGAGGCCCATCAGTGGCTATTAGCCACCAGGTATAGAGAGAACGCTCTGTCTGGGGCAAGGGATGCTCTGCGTTCTTGGTGCTTGGGGGGGCCACAGTGGAAGGACTTCTGGAGTTGTGGCCCCGCTGCTGGACCTCCTGATGGCCCCTGGGTTTTGGCCACCGTGTGACACTGAGTGTTGGACTTGATGGGCCACTGGCTTGATCCAACATGGCTCCTCTCATGTTCTTATGTCTGGGGCAGTGATGCTCTGTCTTCTTGGTGCTTTGGGGGGGCAACAGTGGGAGGGCGTCTAGCATCCTGGCCCCACTGGTGGACCTCCTGATGGCCCCTGGGTGTTGGCCACTGTGTGACACAGAGTGTTGGACTGGATGAGCCATTGACCTGATCCAACATGGCTTCTCTTATGTTCTTATGTCTGGGGCAGTGATGCTCTGTATTTTTGGCACTTGGGGGGCAACAGCAGGAGGGCTTCTAGAGTTCTGGCCCCACTGGTGGACCTCCTGATGGCCCCTGGGTTTTGGCCACTGTGTGACACAGAGTGTTGGTCCGGAGGGGCCATTGGCCTGATCCAACATGGCTTGCCTTACATTCTTAAGGAGAAAGAAAAAGAGAGGCAAGAGGCGTGAGATGTCTGCCAGAGACAGAGCATCATAAAGGAATTGGGAGAACCAAAAAGGCAGAGAGACAGAGAGAAAGTGTGACTGTGTGTGTGTGTTGTCCCATGTCCCTCTGTGTATATTGTCGCCATCAGATACTGCTATAGAGTTGCTTTGGGTAGCTGGCGCACCAGCTCATTTAAAAACAGCTCTTCCTTCGTTAACTCTCTAAGGTAGGGAAGCCGAAACCTCTCTAGGTCCACCAAGAGAGACCGCAGTACACACGAGTCCAGATGTTACAGAGTCGTGGGCAGGGGTCATTTCCTGCAGGAGCGCACAGGAGCGGAGTTCCGGCAGTAAAAAGCCCAGGGGGTGGGCACATGCAACAAGCCCCACCCCCCTGCTCCCAGCAGCCCTCAGTCAGAGCAAGAAGCAGCCAGGTAAGTTGCAGAGGCCCCCCCCCACCCCAAAACAGTCCAGTGGCACCTTTAAGACCAGGTTTTATTCAGGTACGAGCTCTCCCTCCTCTGCGAGGACAGACCTGCACGTCCCCCCCCCAGTAGCTAGCAATCCAAAACAGTCCAGTGGAGCCTGAGCAGTGGGTGTTGCCTTCTGACACACTTCCGGTGACATCAGGGGGTGTGGCATATGCAAATGAGTTATGCTAATGAGCTCCTGCACCTCTTTTTCTACCAAATGACCCCTGGTCGTGGGCAAACTCTTATGGGTTGAATCTGGTATCTATGAATTCTCTTCCAGACAGATCATCTGCTCTCTTCAATAGCATGAGGCCAGAGGAGGGTCCCTGTGAAAAACTCCCCATTCCTCCCGGATCTATGAGAAATTGGCACTCCTGTCATTCATCTGCAAGTCAAGAGTGGTGGAGGAAAAGTGCCAACAAGTCGCAGCCGACTTATGTGACCCCTGTAGGGTTTTCAAGGCCATTCAGAGGTGGTTTGCCATGGCCCCCCAACCAGGAACGGGGGAAGGGGTTTGTTCAGGTCGCCCAGACCTCTGGAAACAAGCTTCTTACCACAAAGTTGGGAAGTTTGATCCTCAGCTTGGGTAGCACCGGAACGATCTCGTCGAAGTCTATGAAAATAAAGGCGATCGTGGCGATGTTTCCGGCCGTCTGGACGCTCCAGTTCCGATCCAGGGATTCCAGAGCCCCCGAGCCGTACAGATACAGGGTGTCTCCGTCAACTTCGACCAAGTGAGAGTCTATGACAGCCAGCCCTTGTACTGTTTTGCTCAGCAGTGAATCGAGAGACCTGCGAGGAGAAAGGAAAACTATTCTTAGAAGTGGGCTCTTGTGGACAGGCGACCTGTGATTGCGGGGGGGGGGGGAAGCTCCTTGATTCCAAAGAAACAAGCTGCCATTAGCTACGCAGAGGGACAGGACGGGGCCTTTTCAGTGGCAGCCCCACGATTACGAAACAACCTCCCCGAGGAGATGTGCCTGGCCCCCTCACTTCCGGTCTGCAGGAGGCAGTTCATGACAGTTTTATTTAGGACTCCAGTTGACTGATTTGTGTTGGTTTGTTTTTTAATGGCAGTCCTAATTGGGATTTTGTATTGCGGCCTTTTATGTGTGCGAGTGTGTGTTTTTATAGTTGTTGTTTTATTTACTTTATAAGCCGCCTTGAGTCCTGCAAGGTAGAAAGGCAGCTAAAAGGTTTTAAATAAATAAAATGCATACAGGTATACATATTCCTGCCTTGACCGGGATATCCCAGGCTAGCCCCATCTCATCAGATCTCGGAAGCTAAGCAGGGTCAGCCCCGGTTGGTACTTGGATGGGAGACCACCAAGGAAGTCCAGGGTTGCTACGCAGAGGCAAGGCAACAGCAAACCACCTCTGTTCATCTCTTGCCTTGACCTGGAAGGCCCAGGTTAGCCCGACCTCATCAGATCTCAGAAGCTAAGCAAGGTCAGCCCCGGTTGGTACTTGGATGGGAGGCCACCAAGGAAGTCCAGGGTTGCTACGCAGAGGCAGGCAACGGCAAACCACCTCTGTTCATCTCTTACCTTGACCTGGAAGGCCCAGGTCAGCCCGATCTCATCAGATCTCAGAAGCTAAGCAGGGTTGGCCCTGGTTAGTCCTTGACTGAGAGACCACCAAGGAAGTCCAGGGTTGCTACGCAGAGGCAGGCAACGGCAAACCATCTCTTGCCTTGACCTGGAAGGCCCAGGCTAGCCCGATCTCATCAGATCTCAGAAGCTAAGCAGGGTCAGCCCCGGTTGGTACTTGGATGGGAGACCACCAAGGAAGTCCAGGGTTGCTACGCAGAGGCAAGGCAACAGCAAACCACCTCTGTTCATCTCTTGCCTTGACCTGGAAGGCCCAGGCTAGCCCGATCTCATCAGCTCTTGTAAGCTAAGCAAGGTCAGCCCTGGTTGGTACTTGGATGGGAGGCCACCAAGGAAGTCCAGGGTTGCTACGCAGAGGCAGGCAGTGGCAAACCCACCTCTGTTGATCTCTTGCCTTGACCTGGAAGGCCCGGGCTAGCCTGATCTCATCAGATCTTGGAAGCTAAGCAGGGTGAGCCCCAGTTAGTACTTGGATGGGGGACCACCAAGGAAGTCCAGGGTTGTGACGCAGAGGCAGGTGATGGCAAACCCTCTCCGAACACCTCTGGCCTTGAAAACCCGACAGAGTCACCATAAGTCAGCAGTGACTTGATGGCAAACAAAGGCATACTCTTTAATACAGAAGAGAATACTTCGCCTGTCAATATTCCCACTCGTCCAACGACTGTATTACAATCCATTCGCTTGCTTAACATGCGATATATTGCTTTGTCTAATTTTCATTTCTAAATGCGGGGCGGGGGGGGGGGATATGTCAAGATGCCTAATTTCATTTGTCTTCTAAGGAGTTATGGGCCAAGGCCTATACTGGAAAGAATTCATCCTTGGAGCCAATTTTTTTTTTCCACTGGCAACAGCATCAATTGGGCAATTTCTGGAACCATAAAAGAGCGGAGGAACCGCCCAGAGAACATTCGCTGCGCATCAAGTTTACTTTCCCCCGGACTGGCTGTACAGGCACAATCTTCAAATTCCTCACGTACGAGATATAAAAATCCCCGCAAAAACGGGAAAACAGTAATAATGGAAATAATCCTGGTTGCTTGGACTACCCCCCCCCCATTTTTTAAAAAACCCATTGTGTCTTTCAAACAGCTTCTACATAATTCCCAGGTTTTACAAGCCTTCACATGTTCACATGAAGCTGCCTTCTCCTGAATCAGACCCTCGGTCCATCAAGGTCAGTATTGCCTACTCAGACTGGCAGTGGCTCTCCAGGGTCTCAGGAGGAGGACTTTCACATCCCCTACTGCCTGGTCCTTTTAACGTGAGATGCCGGGGATTGAACTTGGGACCTTCTGCATGCAAAACAGATGCTCTACCGCTGAGCCCCGGCTCCACCCCTATAATGAACACATGAAGCTACTACACTGAATGAGACCAACAGTGGGAGGGCTTCTGGAGTTCTGGCCCTGCTGGTGGACCTCCTGATGGCCCCTGGGTTTTGGCCACTGTGTGACACAGAGTGCTGGACTGGAGGGGCCATTGGCCTGATCCAACATGGCTTCTCTTATATTCTTACATCTGGTGCAGTGATGCTCTGTATTCTTGGGTGCTTCGTGGGGGGCAACAGTGGGAGGGCTTCTGGAGTTGTGGCCCCGCTGATGGACCTCCTGATGGACCCTGGGTTTTGGCCACTGTGTGACACAGAGTGCTGGACTGGAGGGGCCATTGGCCTGATCCAACATGGCTTCTCTTATATTCTTACATGCAGTGATGCTCTGTATTCTTAGGTGCTTGGTGGGGGGCAACAGTGGCAGGGATTCTGGAGTTGTGGCCCCACTGGTGGACCTCCTGGTGGCACCTGGGTTTCGGCCACTGTGTGACAAAGAGTGCTAGACCGGATGGGCCACTGGCCTGATCCAACATGGCTTCTCTTATGTTCTTACGTTCTAGACAACGTCTCCCTTGCTACAACAACATCAGTCTTTGTGCTAGAGCAAAATGTACTGCAAGAGCAAGAAACGGAGAGTTCGTTGCATGGAAAACACCCGAAATCATATAGTTATACAAACTGGGAGGGAGGGGGAACCGAGAACAATACAACCGGTTTTGGTTATTTTGTATTAAAAGTAGCATTTTTTGCCGCTTTCTTTTTTTGGAAGAACAATGCAGAGAAATCCTTCCAATGTCATATTCTAGAAAGGCAACAAAACTTCAGCTTCCAAGAACAAACGTGGAAGGTTATTTTACACTTCCCGTTTTATTACAGAAGGGCCTGGCGACGAAATCACAGCATTGGCAGCATCAGGAAATTACTAAGAATAAACTCAACTTCTTCAGCCCGTCCCAAAGTAAGTAAAGAAAACATTACAGGGAGGAAAAAAATAAAGCTCATTTTTGACTGGACGGGAGAAAAATATCCTTATATCCTAGTAAAGCACAGCTCTCACGGCTAGGAAAAGGGTGAAGCTACTAGCCTTAAGAGGCCCTACCGTAAGAGAGGTGTTGGGTTTTTCTAACACCGTGACCAAATTTCTTTAAAAGCACCAACATTTTGTACAGGTGACTTTAACCTTTTAAAGAAGGATCCCAGAAGGTCGTAATATGATTTGTTTCGTTTATCTAAGCCGACTGATGTTAAATAGTTCATTTCCTCTCTCTCCTCCGGTCCTTCTCCTTGCCAACAGATATCACGCTAGGAATCAACGACCGAATGGTATCTAAACTCTCATATCCAAAAATTGATTTGTTATGCACGTATCTATTGCACTTCAAGTATGCCAGGTTTCAAGTTGCTGTTATCCCGCACTGTCTTCTACTTTCGTAGTACCGTTTTCTGCACTGACACACTACCTCGAATACTTTGGGCTTTCGGGTTTCCGCAACCCCGGTCCTATTACGATGCCTATTAGATGCCTTATCCAAAAGACTGCATCAAGCGTGTCCAGAAGAGGGCAACCAGGATGGTGAGAGGGTTGGAATCCAAGTCTTACGAGGAAAGGCTGGAAGAGTTGAGTATGTTTAGCCTGGGAAAGAGAAGGCTTAGAGGGGACATGATTGCATTCTTCAAATATTTGAAGGGCTGTCATGTAGAAGATGGAGCGGATCTATTCTCTCTTGCTCCGGATTGCAAGACTAGATCTAACAGGTGGAAATTACAAGGGAGTCGTTACCGGCTAAATATCAGGAGAGACTTCCTAACTGTGAGAGTGGTTGAGCAGTGGAACAGACGGTCTTGGGAAGTGGTGGAGGCTCCTTCACGGGACGCTTTCAAGCGGAGGCTGGACGGCCATCTTTCAGGTATGCTGTAGAGCTATCTTTCGGCTATACTCTTGCAGAGTGCAGGGGGTTGGACTAGATGACCTGCAAGGTCCCTTCCAATTCTAACATTCTATGAGTCTATGATTCTATGATTTACACGGTCTACTCTGCCTTGAGTCACGATACACTTTCCGGTGCATTTATTTGCGACTCAATGTGGGCCATGGTGGCTCAGGGGTTAAGACGCTGGGTTGCAGAC